GGCGCCTGCTCCATGCGAGTCCTCGGCTGGCAAAAGGCATCTGCTGGGGCAGAGGCGGTGGAGAGGGCAGAGGGGGTCAGGAGGGGCTGAGAGGGCAGGGGGCCTTCCCTGCACCCAGGGATTGAGGACCGTGTGCAGCCACAGGGTGGAAAAGCAACCTGGCGCTCGGACCCTGAGGCAAGAGGGTGCGACATTGAGATTCTAGGCGGTGGGAGGCCGACGGCGCCCTCCAGGCCACACTCTTCAGCTCAGACGCTGCGACTAGGGACACTGTCAGGTCCCTTTAAACCTCTCCGGTGGCCGCAGCACCCGTCAGACCCCCGTCCCGTCCGCTCCCCGGAGGCTGACTGCACTCTCCACCGTGCTGGGGTAGGCTGACAGTTTGCGGCCGCCCCCGAAAGCCGCGGCCACGTCTTCTGCACTGCAGGAGGCATTGGGCAGATGGGGAGCCGGGGCCCCAGGTCGGAGGGGCCTCGCTGGCTGGTGACCCACTGCCTATTTGCAGAGCCACTTAAGCGCCGTGTCCCGAGGTAGTATGACGGTTCTCTGCGGCCAGGCACAGAGGCAACGGGGCGGGAGCCGAGGCCGTCTGGCCTGTGGCCTCAGGCTCGCTGTCCATCTGGCTCCCTCGTGGGGGGGTCATGGCGTGCTGCCGAGTGGCGCTCTGGGCACTGGGGGTGTCGCACGGGCGCTGTGTGCATCGCGGCTCTGATGAAGAGATGGAAGGTGGGCGGTTTGCAGGCCGCCGCCCGGTGGCTGTCCCGGAGGAAGGCCAGCCCTGGCCTGGTGGCGAGTGTCCAGGGTCCCGGGCGCCGGGCGTCTCGGCTCTGGGAGGCCGCCATCTGGCCCTGGAGGCTGTGCATCAGACGAGAGAGCAGGTCCCGGCGGCGAGACAGGGCGGGTCGGCGAGCCCACTCTGGCGCACCACGGCTCCCCTGCAGCCGACGCCTTGGCAAAGCCGTGGCCGAGAGGCGGGGCGAGCGCTTTTCTCTAGTGCTGGTAATTCAGAAGCGTTTTCGTGAACATTTCTGAGGCAGGATTATTGCAAACGATCCATTCTGGAGGCAGACAGGAGGCAGCGTTTTTTAATTTTTGCACAGCTTGAAAGAAAAATCGAAGAGAGGGAGTAAACTTTAAAGTTTGGGGAATATAGAAGCTGTAGGATGGTGAAAGATAGAGCTTTCCTTTCCCCCAGAAATAGCACATCAGCTCTTTTGCATAGAAAGCAGTCTGTGAGCCTGGAGGGTGCAAATAAGCTGTCAACACGGATTAAAAGCTGAAGTCAGGGCGAGAGAACGTGTCTCACAGCCGCAGAGAGGCCGCGGGAGCCTGGACCTGGTCCGGCCTGTTCTGCCGGGCTCCAGGGCACCATGAGACGAGATGTAAGGGGTGCAGGGAGGGACTCGGGCGGTGCCGCCTGGGACACGGCACCCACGAGCGGAGTGCGGAGTGGAGCGAGACCCTGGGGGAGCAGCGAGATGGGAGGCGGCCCCGGGGTCACTCGCTGCCGCGCTGCTCCGCGGGGTGGCGGGCTGGGTGCACAGCAGCCACTCGGGGTGTGCTCCCCTGCGGTGCACCTCTCGGGGCACCGCTTCGCGGAGAGGAGGGCCAGGGGGGTTTCGAGGCGCACGGCTTCTAAGGACCAGCTCTTCCCTGGGCCAGGCGCACAGACTAGGGCCTGCAGCGGCTGTGACAGCAGTGTGGGGGGTCGGCGGGCGGGCGGGGGCGCTGCGCTCCCTCTGGCGCGGCCCTGGCCCTCTCCTCTCTGGCAAGCAGGGGCCCAGTGTGAGGCTGGGAGGGGGCTGGGGCGGGGGCGGCCGGCAGGGGTCTGCAGCCTGCTTCTGGAAAGGGTCAGAGGATAAGCGTCTTCGGCTCCTTGGCCGCAGCTCCTCCGTCCACTCAACGCTGCCATGGTGGCAAGAAACAGACAACATACAAGTAGCGCCCACGGCTACGATCTAATAAAACTTTATTTATAAAGATAGCGGCGGCCGGGTGTGGCTGGGGGCTCCAGCTTGCTGACCTCTCTCCAGCTCCGGGGCAGGTGCGTGGTGGGCAGGCGGGAAGCAGAGCCTTGGGGAGGCCGAGAGAACCTGGCCAGGCGCCGTGCTCCGACCGGGCCTGGCCGGGCCTCCCTACGCCTCCCGGGCCTGGCCGAGGACTCCAGCGTGTCGTCGGTCGGTCTGATCTGGTCATGAAATGGGCTCGGGGTCAGCCTCGGTGCTCGCAAACATTAGCATCCGTGGGAGGAGTGGCCGGTCAGCGGGAGACGAAGTGGACATTGGAATAAAGGCAGACAACCTTTCTTTTTTATTTCGCTTAGACAAAATGCAAAGAGTGTCTCATTAAATTAAAAAATAAACCAAAGAGAAAATCCGATTGACCCCCCCACCCTTCCACCGACGGCACTCGTCCTAATTAATACCGGGAGGAGGTCAGATCCAGGACCCCGAGTCTAAGGGGAAAGAGAGTTGCGCAGACACGACTAAGGGTCCCCGCCCCAGGTCAGCGATCCCTTCAAAGTCACAGAGGGGCATTTCTCCTGTGTGTGTTCTCGAAGCTTGTGATAGAACGTCCAGTCCGAAGTGTAATTAGTCCCCCATGCACTTTGTAGAAAATCAGTAAAAATGCAATAGCCTGTGAAGATCATAAAACTGGACTTCTTTCCCAAAAAATCAGATGCCCAGGCAGATGGAGCTCACACTCAGACAGAAAAAAAGCAGTGGGAGAGTCTTTGCAGTGTCTGTGGGTTCAGTATCTTTCTTTTTTTTTTTTAATATATTTTGGCAATTTTCTTTAATTATAAATATCGGAATTCCGTAAAAAAAAGGTAGCTTTGATTGGTTTTTAAACTGTATTTACAACGCTGTCCGGCCGCTGTTATACCAGGGTGTAGGACTTCGCGTAGGGGTTGCTGCCTTTCAGGTGGCCCCGAGAGTCCAGCAGGGACTCCTGGGAGCTGCTCACCTTGGCCGCCTGGCCCAGCTCCGCCCCTTCTCGCTGAGGTAACGTGGCCACGGCCGCCGGCTGCCACTGCGGGCCCTCCCTCGTGGCCGGGGCGGCGGGGGCGGCCTCCATGGGGATGGGCTCCAGGACGGTGGGGCGCTTCAGGGTCCGGCTTTTCTGGGGTTCCAAGCACGCCTGTCCTAAACTCAGGTCCCTGCTGGGGCCTGGGCCGCTTCTGTTCAACAAGAAGTCCATGCGGAGGTACGGAGGCAGATGGATGAGGTCGCCTGCGGACAAGCACAGGGCAGTCAGCGGGTCCCCGGCCCCAGCCACGCCGCTCGGGCCCAGGCAGGGCCGCACCGCGGGGGCCGCGGAGAAGCCACCAGAGGCGCCCAGCCGGTGGGCCTGTCCCCACGCCGCCCGCGGGGGAGCTGGCGTGTCCCAGCACAGTCACCCGGGCCACCAACGGTCCCCCCGAGCCAGAGAAAACAGGCGGCAGAGCCCCGGGGCCCACCGTGGAGAGAACACGCGCTCAGGGTGCCGGCAGACGCCGACAGTCCGGCCTCACCTGCTGCCCTCTGGTCGCAGACAGTGCCTGGCCCGGCCCCTCCCCCTTCTCACCCCAGGGCTTCTGCAGCGGGGCACCGCGCAGCACCCTGGGGTGGAGACAGGGACCCTCCGGCCAGGCGGACAGCGCTCACCGGGGCCACCCTGCCTGGAAGGTGGGCTGGGCGCACAGGCCGGGCCCAGCAGACCCGGTGGGCGGCCGCAGGGCTGCCTGACCAGGCAGGAGCTCAGGGCAACCGGGCAGGAACGGGTTGGGGGTGAGGGGGGTGAGAGATGGAGGCCGGAGAAGGCCAGGACCCCCAGAACCTCAGCGGGTGTGGCTGGCAAGGAGGGAGGCGGGCGGGTCCCTCCGCGTCACACCAGGAAGCCAGTCCCTGGGGGCGGAGGCTGGGAGGCGTGCTCCCGGTGACAGGCGGGTTCCCCGGGGCTGGCGCCCCCGAGGAGGTGCCCGGCAGCGCCTCCCTATCAGCGACGGGTGAGGCATAACCTCAGCGTTCCGCCGCTGAAGTCGCGGGCGATGGATTCTCACTCTGCTTTCAGCCGTTCCCGCTTCGTTGCCAGCCGGGACCCCGGCCCGGCCCTCGGCCCTCGGCTGCCCGGCGCAGGCGTCCCCATGGCCCCTGGCTTGGGAGACCGACGGCCCAGGGCTGCCACCGGCCCAGTGGCGAAGGCGCTTGTGCCTGGCTCTGCACTTTAGCCGCGGTCCTGAGAAACTAAGCGCTTCACTTCAGAGGGAACTGCACCCCAGGGCCGTTCAGGTGGCGCTGAACAGCACCCCTCTTCCCGCTGTTGGGGTTGACTGGCTGCCAGCAGGTTTCATGTCAGCAGTAGTCATTACAGAACAAGCTGGACACTTCTTTTATAATAAGTGAGGGGCATTTTCTTTACGTGATTCAGCGGAACATAATTTAGCAATTTTGACATATGTGGACTCTCCAGTTTCCTAAATGGGGTTATCTTTTTTCTCCAGATGAATAAAAATATTCATTTTATCTTTTACTTATGGGTAGGGCTAATCTTTATCATTTTGCTCAAATACTTGAGAAAATGGGGGGAGACACTCATCTCCAGGTTATTTACAGACGTGGGTCAGGAGAGCTCCGTGCGGCTCCGGAGACGCGATCACATCTCCACCCCCCAACCGAGCTGCAGTGCGCTGTACCCCACGTGGGCATGGTCTCTCTCCCAGCAACACCCCTGCGTGAACAGGGCTGATTAACCCCCTAAAAAGCAATTGCACCTTGGTCCCAGCTGGGTTGCAGGATGCTGGGTCCTAGCCTGGATGGAGCTAAGTTTCAGTGTTTGGAACTGAAAGACAAAGGCCGGCTGGGTTCTCGCGTCGGAGGCCGAGACCGGGCGGGTGGGCGGGTGGCTAGCAGACTGGCGGGCACTGGAGGGCCCGAGGACGGGACCTGCGGCGTCAGCTGCGGCCACGGAGGCTGCGGGTTTGGCCGGCAGCCCCTGGGGCCTCTGGATTTCCCGCACGGGGCTCTCCCTGGCTTTGTGGGTGGTGCGCGTTTCTGAGCGTTGTCGGGCTGACGAGTGCACCCCTGCATCGCCTGCATCGTAGCCCTTGGGATCTGAATGGACCTTCTGCAGGGAAAGGGTCTTTGTCGCTACGGGCTGGAGATGAGAGTCTCTGGGGTTGAGGATGGGCCCCGAGCTAACGACAAGTGTCACAGAAGGGAAGGACAGAGGGGGCTTGGAGAAGAGGGAGGACACTGGTGAGGGTGGACACCGAGGAGGGAGCCATGCGTCCAGGGGCAAGGAGTGCCGGTGCCCCTGGAGCCGACGGGCCCCGGGCAGCACAGCCCTGCGGACACCTTGATCCGCGACTCCATGCCACAGAGCTGCGACTGGACACACTTGTGCTGCTCCAAGTCATCGGGGCTGTGAGGCGTGTCAGTGGCCCGAGGACTCTCACACGATGGCCTCTCCCCGGCTGGGAGGGGCTGGGGACTTCACGCCCTGGGTATCTCTACTGTGGGGACGGCCGGCCTCTGTCCACCCCAGGGAAGGAGGAGGCGTTCCCCCACCCCCTCGCTCTCTCGCTTTGGTTTCCTCAAGCCCGAGGAAGGGGTGACAGAGAGCCCGGGCAGGGGCGGGGAGAGGAGGTGCTGCGGTGCGTGTGCCCGTGGGCCTGGGTGCGCGTGCGTGCGTGTGTGCACACACTGTGGCCTGCGTGACCGGGACACGCGCCGGTGAGACTGTGTCTGACCAGTGGGGAAACTGTCCCAGAGAGGCAGGAGAGAGAGAAGGGAGGGCGGGGGTTGGCCCGGGACCC